AAAAAGGTAAGCTGACATAACCCTTCTTCCTTCCTAGGTCGCTCCTCTCAGATGTTGTAAGTAGCAACAAAACACTGACTGACACGGTACACAATGTCTTATCCAAGGTCAGACACTTAGTTAAGTGACATATGGTTTTTAACTCACTTTGTCGTCTGACGCCTAGAATCCCTCGTGGGCAGAAAGGAGACCTGCGCAAGTCTTAAAGGACACTCATCCCACCCCTCCACACGCAGTGGCCGCAGACCCCGGAGAGATCCCCATCGTCACCCGCCCTGCTGGGAGTCCAGCTTGAGCCGCAGACCGCGGAGGACCGGCCCGGCGGGATTTCTCCTGGTGTATGTCATCATCCAAGTCCAGTTCAGGCCAACACCTCTGCCACCACGGAATTTGCCACACCTCCGGCAGTCCTGCCACTGACTCTCTGACCCGCAGGCATGAAGGCCAATCAGGGCCAGGCAAACACTGAGCCTCTGGACCAGCGAGCCCGTGGGCGGCTTAGGCATCTCCCTGTCACCGCATGGAAGTATTGCTGTCGACTGGGTGTCACTAGTGCCAGCAGGAGGGCCCGCCAATGAATGTGTCCACAAAGCCTACTAATGGATGGATGTTACTGATGTCACGTTTCCTGAGGCCCGTTCTTACTGGACCCAGATCCCAACAATAACCTGCCAGACTCAGAATCACAGAAGGAGGATGCTTCTGACCTTCGGAGACTTGGTGGACACGATGAGGAGATAACGGCGCTGCAGCCACTAGTGCTGGGCCATTTTCCTCACAGCACTGTCACGTGAACCACGTTGGTATTTAGGATTAGGAAACACAGGCTTGTGCATAGCAAAGCCAGGACTGGAACCCCGGCTTCTGCCTCCTAGCCCAGTGTATATTTTATTACATAACAAAAATAAACCATAAAGCAGGGGCGCAGTAATAAGCCAACGAGAATAATAAAGTGGATACTTCAACATTTGTGAGGTGCTTTATTTTCCCAAAGCCTGGGACTAATTGGCAAAGCGTTATGGTGGTGTACAACCCTTTAAAAATTTGTAATCCCCCATCTATTCACTGGATACCTAGATCAGATGTGTGTTCTGCTATGGAAACGTCCTAGCATGTATAGGAAGAAAGGAAATCGACGTCAGGACGGTTCAGGTCTTGGAGTGAGCTTCTGCTTCTCCAGGAGTGACTCAGGAGTATATTCCTGAGAGAGTCTGAGTAATTGCAGAATGTAGAAGAACTGTCCTCACGCACCCGCTGCTCAGAAATAGGACTCCGGGGCAAATTAGTACAAATTAGTACAAAAGTGCAACAATGATGAAGTGGAATCCATCTCTGCCCTTTCCACTCTTTCTTATAAATGTAGGAACTCAATGTGTTCGTTAGAACAACCAAGGGAAGGTTTACTCAGCATTTGTAGGTTCAGTGTAAGGTGGCAGTGCTTCATTAAATGACATGAATTTAGACTTGGAGAAATGGTCCAGGAAAAAATATTCAAAAAACAAAAATAAGTAACATTTGATTGAGAAGCCTGAGGCTAGAATAATAAATTAAGCAGGGGCAGGTGCTATGCGTAGCCGGTAAAGCCACCGCCTTCAGTGCTGGCATCCCATATGGGCACAGGTTCAAGTCCTGGCTGCTCCACTTCTGATCCAGCTCTCTGCTACAGCCTGGGAAAGCAGTAGAAGATGGCCCTAGTCCTTGGCCCCTGCACTTGCACAGGAGACCTGCAAGAAGCTCCTGGCTCCTGGCTTAGGATCGCAGCAGCTCCAGCCGTTGTGGCCAACTGGGGAGTGAACCAGCAGATACAAGACCTCTCTCTCTTTCTGCCTCTTCTTCTGTGTGTAACTCTGACTTTCAAATAAATAAATAAATCTTTAGAAAAATAAGCTAATCTCTGAGGAATCGTTTTATTATTTATTTGTAGTAAATGTTTCATGACAAGTCTATTGCTTCCATTGGGAAGTCAAAGCACAATGGAATTAGTTAAATTTGCTTATTTTTTTTAAATCTCTTCAATTTCTTCCCCAAATTTGAGTTTCTCTTTGTACTTCTCACTATTATCATGTACTGAACAAATATCAATTGGAGCTAAAATGATATTAGGTTTTGATGAAATACCTATTTTTAGCCTAAGGCCTAAGTAGTTTTTGGAATTCATATTTGCATCATTTTAATGAAAATGAGGTAATATACTGAAATGGCATTTTCTTAGATTGCATTAAGGTTTATATACTCCGCATTTTTCATATACACTGTGTCATATGCTTCCCTCTAAATCAGATCTATTATGAACATGCTGATTGTTCTCACTGCTAACAGCATGCTAGCGGTTTTGAAAACATCAATTTTATTGTTTCTTGATCTTTCTAAAGCTATCTTACTCTAATACAAGCTGCAGCACATCTCTAGTAGAATAGAGTGTGACTGAATTAAATAGCTTTGTTGTTCTCCTGGAATTCTGTCGCTAGTGTCTACCCCATATTTAAAGTGCTTATGTCCATGTGCACCTATTCTTAGAACAGTAGTTGGAATCTACATATTCTCAACACATATTTCTATTAATAAATCAAATATTAAAATCTTCCCTGATAAAACACTTTGAAAACAGGGTGCCCCTTTTTGTGCAACAGTCAGAATACTATCAGAATACAAAAATCTCAGTATTTTCTAAAACAACTTGAAATAATTTAATTTAGGTCACCACAGTTTCATTTCCTAACTATAAATATGCAGAATAGAAACAGATTTGTTGTATTTCTTTAAAGAGAAAGATTAATTTGGCAATATTTCACAGGGGACAAAAGAGAATGGAGTGTAAACAAAACTTCCCAAGGCTCACATAGTACCTAACATGTTGCTTAAGGAAAACAAAGACAAACAATATGACATGATAAATATTGTCTCACAAACACTATGACAAACTCTGAGTAAATTCTTGTTTTGAACAAAGTAGGTCCAGCAAAAACAGGCCTTTTTGTTTGTATCAGAGAGACTTTCAGAAGGGTAGCAGCTGCTTCCAGACATATCATTTGTTCATGGCAAAGTTCTTACTGCTGATGGGTAACTCTAGATTCTGATTAAAGATAAATTTTTACTTAAGTATGATCCAATAAATGATTCATCTTTTTGCGAGTGTTTGGATAACATTCTGATCACATTCCAAAGCATTTTATATTACTTTCTGCATCACACTTATGTTGCAAATGCCTAGTAGAGCTGATGTTCATCATTGTTTGACTACAACCAACCTTCTTTCCCTCAAGCCATCCCTCCTGAAACTCTGGTTCAGATATTCATTTGTAAGTGATCAAATTATCAAGTGTCAAGTTCCAGTACATTTCTGGGATTAGATTTGTCAGTGTTTATAATTAGACCAGTAACGTAGTATTGATATTTGATAAGATACTTGATTATTTTATTAGTGATTGATTTAATTTTGTGTTTGCCAGTGTTTGCTAGATAAGAAGACGTATCTTGGGAGATGCATTGCAATAAGAGGTACTGTGCTGAAATTAGTTTGGGAACTGACACATGTTACTCTTCTCCCTTTCTAGACTCAGTGCATTTTTTTAAAGATTTTATTCATTTATTTGAAAGGTAGAGTTCCAGAGGCAGAGAGAGAGAGAGAGAGAGAGAGAGGTGTCTTCCATCCACTGGTTCACTTCCTAGCTTCTTCCAGGTTTCCCCCATGGGTGGAGGGGCCCAAGCACTTGGGCCATCTCCAGGGTTTTCCCAGGCCTTAGCAGAGAGCTAAACAGAAAGAGGTGCAACAGGGACTCGAACTGGTGCCCATATAGGATGCCAGCCTTGCAGGCACCAGCTTTTCCTGCTATGCCACAGCTTTGGCCCCAAGTGCATCTTAGTCTACTAAAGACTTGTAGAGATTTTGAAAGTAGAGAAACACATTCCAATTTTTAAAGTCTTCCAAATGTATCTGATCATGGAGATGGCATTTTTTTCATCATGCTCTTACTATGTATTATGATTAGTCATTAAAAGATAACTCTCCAAATTAATTTAAGGATTTGTTGTTTTACTCTCTACAAAGGAGCTAAATGTACATTTTGTTTTTAAGGAACTAAATGAAGTTTTCTAACACTTGAAAATATTTCAATATGACTTATTTTGTAATGTTTAAAGATTTTTCCTCATTTAACTTTATATACATCTTGAAAATTTTTTGATAAAATAGGGACATATGCCAAACTACCTACAGGGAGTCCATTTTTGTTACTGAAAAAAAATCAAGAACTTTTAAAATACTTTATAGTATATTTGAACCTTATAAGATAATAGTGAATGCTGTAAAATGAATTTTTTGAGTTGACCTTTCTACCATTTGGTTGTCAATTCCATATAGGAAGGCAAATTTCCAGCTTCTCAGCTTGTTATCTAGGTCTCTGCTAATGTGCCTGGGAAGCAGCAGATGGATGACCCCAGTGGCTGGATCCCTGCCACCCAGGTGGGAGACCCAGATGAAGTTCCTGGCTCCTGGCTTCAGGATGGCACAACCCCAGCTGTTGCAGAAAGATATAAAAGTGAACCAGTGGATGGAAAATGTCATTGTTTCTCTTTTTCTGTCACTCTGCCTTTCAACTAATCAATCTTAAAACAAAGCAAAAAAAAAATTTTCCATCATAGGATCTTTTATTCAAAGTACTTCCTTTCCCTAAAGGAAAACTATTCTAAGTTCTTTATATATAATTATCTCAATGTTATAAATGGCAGTAAGACTAAGATTTACTTCTGAGTTTTAGTTTTAGCAATGATGAAGTTATAAATTCGTACCTGAGAATGTCCTTAAAATGTTGACATAATTGTGATTAGATAAGTAATACTGTTATTACAATCTATGATGCCAGATACATACAGCAGAAAAAATTACTGTGACAATATATCTGATCACTCTGAAAGCTCAATTTCAAGTGTCTCTGCTATTACAAAATCTGTGTATGTGTGTGTATGAAACAGAAATAAGCATTTGATGACATATTATAGCCTTCTTTTGTTAAACATTTTTTATTGTAATAACACACCCGAGTAATTGAAATAACTTTGCCATACAGATAGCACATGCTGGAGCATGACAATGCAATGCTAATTGCACATTGTGTTGACATTTCAAGCATATTTTCTGTAACAACATTTGCATTCATATACAGGTAATAAAGCACATGGAGATAATTTGAATCATGATTCATATTACCAAATGTATTGCTTTCAAGCTAATCTTCAAATTCAGAATCTTTAGCAAATGCATTAATATTCAAATGTTGTAGCATGTAAAGTGGTTATTGTATGAATTGAACAGCTCAGGACCAAGAATCGTTGTTAGGCTTTGAAAAAGAAATATCAGCATCATTTGATTACTTTTGTAATGTAAACCTTCTTACTAATTTAATAGTCTATTGAAAAATGCCTTTACCAACAGCTTTCAAGTTAATAGGTAGGGACAAAATAAAAGCTTTATGTAGCTTTTCTTAGATAATATAGTCCAGTTCATGCAGAATATGTTACCTGATTTATTTTCCTTCAACATTTTCCTTTACCCATTTATGATGAAGCCAAAAAAAAAAAAAAAAAAAGGGCACCAAAAAAGGGTGGCATTCTGATAGTGTGAAATAAGTCTTAATATACCAATTTTTGGTTACAACATTGTTATTTGTAGTCGGTGTCTTGCATTATATGGATTCAGACAATTAATGCTTATTTTTAGGCATAAAGACTTTATACCTGATTCTTAAAGATGTCAGCTAAAAACCTGAACTTGATTCAATAGTGTATTTTATCTAAGCTTTATTGTTGCTGAGGCAAAAACATACCACCATAAAATATAAGAAAAAACCAGTGTGAAAGGCAGGATTTCCTTTTTCTTGATTTAGTGCATGTAAAGGTCAAAGCATCAAAGGTAACTTAGAGATTGCAAAACAGGATAAAGAAAGAAAGAAAATACTAAGAAATAAAATTTTCATCATGAATGTTTCTAAATATTTCATTTATTTGTAAGACAACATTAGCTCAACATATTTAAATAATAAGGATTTTAAAATTTCAAATTTTTCAATTTAAGGGGAAAGTAAAATATTTAAGGAATCATCAAGTTATAGGAACACAATTATACAGTTAAACTTTTTATTTAAACCCTTAGAAGTAAAATATTCAAAGTGTAAATTAGCATTATAGAATAGAAAGTATTATATTTTCTATCATTTGTGAGATAATTGCTATTATTTTTTAAAGATTATACTTTAAGAATGAAACAGCACTTTACAGAAAATCGAATAATGGTATTTTTGTATGCAATTTTTGGTACTTTTGAAAAGATCAGAACTTTTAAACAGAATGACATGCTACAGGAGAAAATATTTGGGTTCATTTATAATAAAATATCTGAAATTTTAATTCAATAATAGGAGCCAATGCTGTGGCACAGCAGGTTAAGCTATTGTCTGCAGTGCCAGCATCCCTTATGGATGCCGGTTCGAGTCCTGGCTGCTCCACTTCTGATCCAGCTTCCAGCTAATGCGCCTGGGACAGCAGTGAGGGATGGCCCAAGTGGTTGGGCCCCTGCATCCATTTAGGAGACCTGGAAGAAACTCCTGGCTCCTGGCTCCAGCCTGGCCCATCCTGGGCTGTTGCAGCTATTTGGGGAGTTAACCAGTGCATGACAGATCCCTTTGTCTCTCCTTTCTCTCTGTAAATCTGCCTTTCAAGTAAATAAATAAATCTTAAAAAAGAAAATTCTAACACAATTATGTGCTCACATGCTTTCAAATTAGAATGAGAATTAAAATGAAAATGCTTTCTTAATGTTCAAGACATCACTATTACCTTGTTGTGTATAAATATTAGATGAAAAGAGACAGGGTTTTTTTGTTTGTTCGGCTTTGATTTGGATTTAGTTTAAGAGAAGAGAATCTAGTGGGAAGATTTTGTTTATTTGGTCTTAATTTAGGCATATGATAAAATTTTTATAGATCTTTGCACTTTATGAATAACCAGAGTTACCACTGCCGTTTCCATATTTGATCCTGTAACATTACATTTCTATATATTCAACATAAGTGAAATGCTAGTAAGATAAAATTTGTTCTGGTAAAATTAAAGTATGAACCCCAATTAGCTCCTTCCACACATCCCATAAAGCAAATGGTATGTAACCTATAATAGTGGATTATTCACGTGAAAACTAATTTGCAATCTCAGACTATGTTTGTAGGTGATGATTTAAAATAAGAAGGTGGTTTCTTAGACAATTCTAGAAATCATATCAATCTCATACAGTTCCAGAAAGCATTCTAAACTTAGATTTACCAAATAAGCAAGCATGTGTTTTTCTGTAACAGGAAGAAAATATGCTTTCAGTGTAAATAAATCAAATCCCTTATTAAAACCCCCTGCTAAGATTGAGTAGCTTCTGCAGTTTTTAAGATAAAGCTATTTTCTCTCCTAGAAGGGAAAGTCAGGCCTGTACCATTACTTATATTGATATGTTTTAACCTTATGAATAAAAAGTTTATAATAAAAACAAAGGAATATTTCATACCCCTAAAACTTTTCTATGGCCTCTTGAGACTTCCATAGTTTATTGCATCTTCTCTTCTTAGTTGCTCATTAGGGAGTAGCACTACAGCAGCCATGGTCCAAAGCACACCAGGTAGTATATATAAATAATGAGCACATGGCTTTTATTCACAAATTCACCATATCAAACCGCATTGGTATAAATAGGTTAATGTGAACAATAAAATTCTAGTGCTCAAAATAAGGACAGACCCTTAAATAGCTATATAAATTGCATCTGTTCATGAATTAGTTGGGCAGTTCCATAATCTAAATTTACTCTTCATTTTTAAAGTGTGTGTGTGTGTGTGTGTGTGTTTCTGGGGAGGAGAGGGTTCCTCTCAAAATTGGGTATTCTTAATTTTTGTTTTAAATGAAATTTTTACTCTTGTACAATAAGGATGGAAGTTCCAGCATACATTCTAGCAAATTAACTAGCCATTTGTGAGTTAGCTAATCATATATCAGACACTTCGAGTCATTTCTCTTTCATTGCCAAATGATGAATTTAAAAGAAAATTGATGGGGGTGGCGCCATGGCTCTCTTGGTTAATCTTCTGCCTGCAGCAGTAGCATCCCATATGGGCATCGGGTTCTAGTCCCGGTTGCTCCTCCTCCAGTCCAGCTCTCTGCTGTGGCCCAGGAAAACAGTAGAAAATGGCCCAAGTGCTTGAGCTCCTGCACCCACATGGGAGACCAGGAGGAAGCACCTGGCTCCTGGCTTTGGGTCGGCCAGTAGCTCTGGCCGTAGCAGTCATTCGGGGGGTGAACCAACGGAAAAAGGAAGACCTTTCTCTTTCTATTTCACTGTCTAATTATATCAAATAAAGAAAAAAAAGAAAATTGACAAAAAAAACACTCCATGAAAGACTTACTTGTTGATCATTCTTATGGTGATTTTGTAATATTTCAAATTCCGCATTGTTTTTTCTAAGAAATCTATGACATAGTTAAGAGTTCTCAAAATGAAATCATGAACACTACCCTGTGAACTGCTCCCTCCTGACACCCTTATCCTCCTCTTCCACAAAGACCACTGCAGCTTCTTCAGGAAGCTTCCAGCAAGGAAGAACATCCACTGAAACTTGGATCTAAGGTAGTCATAAGAATCTGGTAACTAGCAATAACTTAGGAGAGAAACGAGTTATTTCAGTCTAATACAGCCTCACAAGGTTATTTTAAAAGAAAACATGTCTAACAGCTTTGCTGTCCATCCAGTTTGTGTTAGACCCAGCCAGTTTGCCCCTCTCTGTTCTCTTTGTGCCTTGGAGACATTCCCTGATTTACTGAAAATAGTATTGAGGATAGTAAAAAAAAAAAAAAAAAAAAGGTGAAACAGTCATAATTTTGCAAACAATTAGCATTTATGAGAAAATAAAATTATTCAGGGAAGGAGTTTAAATAAATTTCTAAAGGGTAAATAATATACTTTCTGGGGGGTATCATTGTCAAAGCATTGCTTTTTATATTTTTATGGAAAATTGAAAGCTCACTCATTGTTTTTGAAACTGTAAGCAAAATAAGGAAGTAAATTGCTATGAAACTTATGCATAATAACTTTTGACAGGAAGAAAAGTTTATAATCTTATTGATTTTTTACAAAACCCTCAAGGGTATATTAATTATGTGGTAACTGGAATCTTCTAGTCAAAACTATTGACTATATATGGTGTAATAAGAAACTACTGTATTAGACTTCACAATGTAAGTTGGTCTCATTCTTGAGAGACTTATAAAATAAGTGACACATTATCCTATAATACCAAAATGAGTTTGAAATGTCAGCTCTTCTATTTATGTAGAACAGAAAAAATTTATTTAACCACATGTTAAACCCATCAAAGATATAACTTCCAAATAAAAATTAGTGGTATGAGATACAAAAATCGTACAGAAAGATTTTTATCATTGCCATCATTTTCTATTCCTTTATGTGATTCCCTATGAAAAGTAAAAATAAAAGCTGGTTTACATTTTTATTTTTAACCCACCAGATTGTCTTCCACTTGAATCATAATGATCTTACCAGATCCTTACTGAAAATGTCTATTATTACAAGCAGTTAAATTTCTACTTAGGGGAATAAAAATATTGGAAAATCAGGTTAAGATGTTTCCAGTAGTTTATAATGTGCTATTGTAATGATAAACCCGTTTTATACTTAATTCTATCATCAAGCAACATCAGGTTTCTAAATCTTTTTTGGTTCATTTTAAATGGCTACTACATATAGGAGTATTAATAAGGTATTATGCTATTAATGCTTTTTCAAGTTAAAAGCTGTGTTATCTAGAAAATAATTTAACACTGTAATGGGATATTCAAGATTAATTCTGTTTTATATACTCTGCAGCAAAAATAACATTTCTAGTAGGAAGGAATTAATTATAAACCTAGCAAATTCTAGACATTCACATATTTGTGTAAACAAATTTAACATGGTTTATTATATTTCCAGAAAGGTTAAGTCTTCAATTTTCTGCTAATTCTTCTTTCAAATATTATAATAAATATATATGTTATTTGAGTGCATGTGTATATATTTTCACACATATTTAAGTCATATATACATAAAACAGCACTTAATGGTCACTTTCTTTGCATGTTCCACTTGAGGGAAAAAAATGAATTACTATTATGCATAACCCATGGCGATCTTCCCTTCTGTTTCACAAATGGCCATATCGGGATGTAAACAAAACATTGGAGCGAGTCATTCCAGGTGAATTGTATTTCATGTTGAAAGTTGGTGTTCTCATGAAGAACTGGGTACTTCCTGGCAGTAAATACCTAGAAATGATAGTTTTAAAATTAGACTATTATAAGCAAATTAGTATTAACATCTTTTATTTATGTGGTTAGTAATTTACATACTTATCATACATGAAAAATGTTACCATAACAACAAAGCAACTCACAGAAAAAGATTTTCTTTCCTAGACTGAGAATAAGAGGGGAGAAGGAAAGAATTGACTATGGATGTAACAGAATGTTGGTATCCAAACATCTCCTCAGGAGTCACTCCACTCTATGCTATGAAACTGTTTATGTGGCTCATGTTAATTTAGAATTTTGCATCAGTTCTTGTTATTAGTATGTGGAGTCAATCAAATATTTCTTAAAAATATTCAACATGAGAATTTGACTATCCATATTTGCAATAATTATTTGCTTCAAGGATGATGAGAATACTAATTATAGTTCAATATCATTGATGCTTCATTAAAGAAAAAGTTGAACAATTGTAATTATAAATTCATATAGCATAGTATTTATGTTTACAGAACATCAGAAATAATCATGATATCACATGTAAGTAACTCTTGCAAATTAGTCTATTATAGGCTATATGATTTTTTTTCAGATTTTAGTAAAACCATGTAGTGTATATACTCTGTGACACCTCATCAGAGTCTGGGTAAGCATCCTGTAATGAACCACTAATATTTCTGTAATAAAATGCACAAATATTCACAATAAATCAGACAGAGATTATAAATAGCTTAATATAAATGCAGGTAGATTTGTCAACAAATGCATCCTTTTCTTTGGTTTTTGTTTTTATTTTCAAAGGTTTGGAAATTAGGAATTGCAAGTAGGAAATTGTGCACTTGTATAATCCATTTTTCTGTGAAAAACCTTGGTTAGTAGTATGCCCTTTCAATCTATATGTCCAGACAGAAGTGGTTGAGGAAATCCACGTAAACATAATGCAAAGAAACAATGTTATTCAAAGTGTAGGTCCTTGTAATGATAAGGACATGCTATAAAGGACAAAATACTTATAAATTAAGGAATTCCAAGAACAGAAATAGTGATAGGAAATTTTTAATTAGCAGTGGTCTTGGAAAAATAAACAATAGTAGAATATCAAATCATTTATTATATTTTCTTCATTTGACATTAGAATCCTCAAGTGATATTTCCATAAATATATGTATATATATATAAATATATGAAGAAAGTGAAGTCCAAGGACATTATTAGCTACCTACCTATGTTAAATAATATTGATAGCTAGGATACCATTATGTCAATGGAAAATTATACTTACAGTTGTGTTACATGAATTTTATTAAAAGAAAATGAATTCATTATAATCAAACTGAACATAGTATTCAGATTAAAATAACAGAATTTTCTCTAATATCCATAGACATCATCTTCATCATGAATTATCTAATAATATCCTCTAAATCTATTATCTAATATCACAGACTATAAATAATTGCTCAAATCATTAAGTTAATAGAGCAGTAAAATAATAGACAACAAACCAAATTAAAACAAAATTGTATAATGGGTGATGAATAATGAAACAATTGATTTCTCACATCATAAATTACATAAATTATTTTCTTAATATAACTCGGGTAATTTATATGAATTATTATGTTAAGAACTGTTGAAGTCATGATGATTAATCTAATATATTCTGCCATGAGAAGGCTGCCCTTCATATCTAGAATGGAGGTACAGAAGAGAATAAGGTTTTTGCTCAAAAAAAATACAATTCTATATTAAATGAGGGTTATTTGTACTTCACTTGAAAATTCATCCTAATTACACTGACACTGACAAGTAATGATACATAGTAACTCCCAACAGCTTTCTTTCAAAGAATGTCCAAGCAATAATTACAATTGACATTTTAGTAACCATCACATAAATTTTTGAATAAAAGATCTCCGTTTCACACTTGAAAAAAGTACAGAGTCCAGTACGACAGCTAAATTATGCTATTTTTACTGAATAAATATTTAAATAGTATTTTTAGCACTATACTAGTTGCTATACAAATATTAACTCATTTAGTTCTAACAACAGTTCTCTATGGTATTGTTAGTTCCATTTTATAGATGAATAAACTTCATGAAGCAAGAAGGAATTAGCTGCTTTGCCCATGGATACACAGATAGTAAGTGGCAGAGCTAGGATTCAAACACCAGGCAGGCTAAGCCCAACATCTGTGCTCCCAGCAACTACACCTATTGACATCACAATCTCACATCATTGCTATATGAGTCTCAATTTAAAAACTAATATGTATAATTATTAAAATAATTTTTTCAGAAATAATGAAATATCAAATAACCTAAAAAGCAGAAAAATATACATTCCACAACACTTAACTTTTTAATTGAATCAGAAAAAGTAAAAATGAAACTTCTTTTAATATTTAAAAAGAAAAAGAATTTCAGTATTAACTAAGAAAAGATTATGAAATCGTACTTGGAAGGAACATTTTGCTTCCCTAAAGAAAGTGCTGTGAGATATTTTAAAGTATTGCAGTGAAACATAATGGATTATTTACCTTAGTATCTTCATTAATATCTCTTGGGAGATCCCATACTACCTAAACATCAAAGATTATTTTTGAAATAAAGTTAAACAACACAATGTATATTTTTAGCGGGAAGACTATTTCAAAGCAGTGGATTTCTAGCCCATGTCTGACTACTTTGCGTAAAGCACCAAAAAATGTGAACAATTTACAGCTTCATTTTCCCTCCGCATATTCTGTATGTTTTATATATTCTTTCAATTTTTAAAATTTTATTTTCATTTCTATTTGAAAGAGAGAAATAGAAAGACAGAGAGAGACCTCCCATTTGCTGGTTCACTCCCTGAATGCCTGCAACAACCAAGAGTAGGTTAGATCACAGCCAGGATCCCAGAGCTCATCTGAGTCTCCCACAGAGGTGCCAGGGACCCAAGTACTTGAGTCATTCCCTCCTGCCTCCCTGGGGGTATGCATTAGCAGTGAGCTGGACAAGAAGTGAGGAGCTAGAACTAAAACCAGGCACCCTGATATGGTATGTGGGTGGTCCTAAGCAGCATCTCAAATGCTGCACCTAGTGCCCACCAGAATTTAGAGTATTCTTTTTTTTTTAACTTTTATTTAATGAATATAAATTTCCAAAGTACAGCTTATGGATTACAATGGCTTCCCCCCCATAACTTCCCTCCCACCCGCAACCCTCCCCTTTCCCACTCTCTCTCCCCTTCCATTTACATCAAGATTCATTTTCAATTCTCTTTAGATACAGAAGATCAATTTAGTACATATTAAGTAAAGATTTCAACAGTTTGCACCCACATAGAAACACAAAGTGAAAAATACTATTTGAGTACTAGTTATAGCATTAAATCTCAATGTACAGCACACTAAGGACAGAGATCCTACATGGAGAGTGAGTGCACAGTGACTCCTGTTGTTGACTTAACAAATTGACACTCTTGTTTATGGCATCAGTAATCACCCTAGGCTCTTATCATGAGTTGCCAAGGCTTTGGAAGCCTTTTGAGTTCATTGACTCTGATCATATTTAGACAAGGCCATGGTCAAAGTGGAAGTTCTCTCCTCCCTTCAGAGAAAGGTACCTCCTTCTTTGATGACCTGTTCTTTCCACTGGGATCTCACTCGCAGAGATCTTTCATTTAGGTTTTTGTTTTTGTTTTTGTCTTGGCTTTCCATGCCTGAAATACTCTCATGGGCTTTTCAGCCGGATCTGCATGCCTTAAGGGCTGATTCTGAGGCCAGAGTGCTGTTTAGGACATCTGCCATTCTATGAGTCTGCTGTGTATCCCCCTTCCCATGTTGGATCGTTCTCTCCCTTTTTTATTCTATAGGTTAGTATTTTCAGACACTATTCTTGTTTATGTGATCCCTTTGGTTCTTAGTCCTATCATTATGATCAATTGTGAACAGAAATTGATCACTTGGGAGATGGCATTGGTACATGCCACCTTGATGGGACTGAATTGGAATCCCCTGGTATGTTTCTAACTCTACCGTTTGGGGCAAGTCAGCTTGAGCATGTCCCAAATTGTACATCTCTTCCCTTTCTTATTCTCACTCTTAACGTTTAACAGGGATCATTTTTTCAGTTAAGTATCAACATTTAAGAATAACTGTGTATTAATTACAGAATTCAACCAATAGCATTAAGTAGAACAAACAAAAAAAAATACTAGGAAGGATAAAGTATTAAGTTGTTCATCAACAGTCAGGGAAGGGCTGATCAAGTCACCATTTCTCATAGTGTCCATTTCACTTCAACAGGTTTCCTTTTTGGTGCACAGTTAGTCATCACCGATCAGGGAGAACATATGATGTTTGTCCCTTTGGGACTGGCTTATTTTACTCAGCATGATGTTTTCCAAATTCCTCCATTTTGTTGCAAATGACCAGGTTTCATTGTTTTTTACTGCTGTATAGTATTCTGTAGAGTACATATCCCATAATTTCTTTATCCAGTCTACTGTTGATGGGCCTTTAGGTTGATTCCAGGTCTTAGCTATTGTGAATTGAGCTGCAATAAACATTAAGGTGCAGACCGCTTTTTTGTTTGCCAATTTAATTTCCTTTGGGTAAATTCCAAGGAGTGGGATGGCTGGGTTGAATGGTAGGGTTAAGTTCTTGATATGCAAAATAGCTACCTTGAACTAAGGAGAAATGCCTCAGACTACACAGTCTCCAGGTACTTCAGACACATGGCCTCATCTCATCCCTCAGGCTAGGTGTACACAGTTCCACTTATCCAATTTTCAAACATTTGGGGGCCAGCTGTTGTGGTGCAACAGGTTAAACTACCAACTGTAACACCAGAATCCCATTTTGGAGTGCTGGTTTGAGTCCCAGCTTCTCTGCTTCCTATCTAGCTTCCTGATAATGCGTTTGGGAAAGCAGCAGAAGACGGCCCAAGTGCTCTGCCCCTGCCACTCACATGGGAGACCTGGTTGGAGTTCCTGGCTCCTGGCTCCTGGCTTTGGCCTACCCAAGCCCT